GAGAGACCGAGCAGACGCACTTCCATATGTCCGTGAGCTATGTCTATTTTTAAAGACAACAGCTTTTTGTAGTTTTAGTTGTCTTAAAGCTATAATGAGAATTTATTCATATTTGACAATTCAGATTTTATCCCCAACTTCGGAGACCAAAAAACTCCCTTATGTTCAAATGCTTGTCTAGATAACCAGAAAAGATGCATTTTTCCCCAATGGGTTTCACATGCAAGTCCCTACAACTAGCAAAAGCAACAGAAAAAGAGAATTTATTGCATTATGGCACTTGGGGGGGGGCGGGAAAATATTCTTTTAAAAAATCTCTCATGTTTGCAGAGGGGGCCCTTTTACCACCACACTTTCCTTACTCAAAACAACACTGGGATAGAGCACTGGCCCTGAAGTCAGGAGGACCTAAGTTCAAATCCAGCCTCAGACCAAACACTTGACGCTAGCTGTGTGACCCTGGGCAAGTCACTTAACCCCAATCGCCCAAAAATTAAAAAAACAAAAACAAAACACTGGGAATCATACTACAGGCACCATAGGGGAGTTAGCTCACACCCTTGTTATGGTTCAATTGTGTCTGACTCTTTGTGACAACATAGACCATAGCACACCAATACTGTCCATGGAGTTTTCTTAGCAAAGATACTGTAGTGGTTTGCCATTTCCTTCTCCAGCTAATTTGACAGATGAGGAAACTGAGGCAAACAGAGGTAAGTGACTTGCCCAGGGTCACACAGCTAGTAAATGTCCGAAGCTGGATTTGAATTCAGGTCTTCCTGACTCCAAGCCTAGTGCTCTATCCACTGCACTCACTAGCTGTCCTCCAAGTGAGTACTGAGCTCTATATTTTCAGAGATTCATCACCCCCCTATCCCTCAGCTTTGCCTTTCTCTGTGGGGCAGTGCCTACTTCTTGTCCCGGGAGCATGGCTATAACAACAACAGCAACAATTAGCATTTATATAGCACTTTAAGATTTGCAAAATACTTTACAAAGGTTGTCATCATTTTATCCTTACAACAACCCAGGGAGGGAGGTGCTGCTATAATCCCCATTTTTAAAACAACAATAATAATAATGATAATGCACATGTATATAATGCTTTAAGGTTTGAAAAACACTTTACATACACCGTTTTATTTAATCTTCACAACAACTTTGTGAGACAGGTGCTATTTCCCATTTTATATATTCCCCATTTTACAAATGAGGAAACTGAGCCAGTACAAGTGACTTGCCCAGGGACACACATCTAATAAATGTCTGAATTCAGGTCTTCTGAACTCGAATTCAGTACTCCATTCACTGACACATAGTTTCCTCATTTTTTACCTAATCAGAGAATAACTCTTGAGCTCCCACCCATTGGTGAATTTTCTGAGCTTACATTTCAGTGAGCCCTAGTTATGTGAGCTTCACATAATGAAGACAAGTCTCCACAATTAGGTATTGTTTGCAGTTTACTCAGCAAACCATGAGTGCATAATAACAAGAAAACAATGCATAATAATAATTTTTTAAAAAATTCTACCAAGCAGCTGTAAGCCAAGCTGACTTCTCTCAAAGCCCAGAATTCCGCGCCCCCCCCCAACACACACACAAGACTGACTCATACTGAGGAGTTCTAGGAAAGATGCAGGTTGAGTCCTCCCTTTAGGAAGGCAGACCAGGAACCATTTCCCATAGGATGCTAGAGTCACCCATCCTGGAAATCTCCATCTGCTTGTTCGATGGAGATGCAGAAACTCTGGACTCAGGATCTTGACTCAGTCATGAAACAAGCAAGGAATACATAAGGATTTGTGATTTCCCCATTCTTGACTGTTTGGCCCCTGGTTGGGACCTCTCACCTTCTCTGGCCTCAGCTTACCCATCTCGGAGTAGGGTTAGTGGGGTCGACAGCCAGTGGCAGACAAGTAATGTTCTTCCTGACATGCCTCTCCAACCCTGACTGTGGAGCACCTTTCTGTTCCCCAAATATGCCTTACCATTGGGCAGTTATTGTTTGAGAGCCCAAATAGGCACTAGGGAGCAAGGGCTAACCCAAGTGACCACCTAACTTTTAGAAGCATTCTGTTTGGCTGTGGATGGCATCTTGTATTTCTGTTGAATGTGAGGTCTCCTGTGCTCTGGGAGTTAAGCAACCACCTGAACCTTTCAATTAAAACTCTCCTCTTCACAATTAGAAAGAATGAAGAGGAGGGACCACCTGAAGGCCAGCTGCTCCCTTCTCACCCACCCACAGAGCTGTCTGTCGTGGTTCACAACTTCTCTTGGATAAGGGGGAAGTAATTAAGTGTTTTGATTTAAAAAGTCTCCCTCTGGGCTACAGAAAAGAGGAGGCAAAAGGAAAATCACCCACATCAGAAAGGACTGATCCCCTGCTGGCTCACCAAATCTGCAGCGGTGCGAGCATCTCTGATCATATCTGAGTTGGTAGGAATATAAGACTTTGCATTTAATCTTCTAACTTTAAAAAAAAAAAAGCTGGCAGTGAGCAAGAAGAAATGGAAGGGCATGTGGCTGAAAGGGAATTTCTACAAACACCCACAGGAGGATTGAGGATTCAGGCTATCCTTAGGAGTCTTCTCCCCAAGCAGAGCTGCTTCCAGCTCCAGAGATGGATGCTCTTATCTTGGGCCCACCCACTCATTCACCCATGGAGTTCAAATTAACAAGTATTTCTTAAGTGCTTACTGTCTCCAAGGTACCACAAGCAAATACACCCAAGGAATAGCATCCAACTTAAACTTTTGCAAAGTATTTTACATATCAAATGAAGTATTTATAATGTATATAATATATTTATATACTTTAATATATCTAATTAATATTTAATATCATTATATTATGTAATATATTATAATACGTTCATTACATAATGCATGATATTCTGTATTATATAGAATGGTATATTATATATAAAATTATATTAAATAATAAATTGATGTTTAAAATATTAATATATACAAACTATATTAAACAATACATTGATGTTTAATATATTATATATAATTTATAATGTAAAATAATATAATAATGCAGTGCTTGACAAATCACTATATAAATTATTACATAATTTTATTATTTAATATTACTATTTATTAATTAAATAACATTAAATACCTATTAAACTATTATACATATTATTATGCTATCTCATTTGATCCTCCTGATTCCCTGGGAGGTAGGTGCTATTATGATTCCCATTTTACAGGTGAGTAAACTGAGCAGAGCAAGGTTAAGTGATTTGCCCAGGGTTACCTAGCTAGCGTCTGAGGCAGTATGTGAATTCAGATCTCTCCTTATCTTCATGCCCGGAGCTCTATACACTGCACCATCTAGTTGCCTAGGATGGGGAAGTGTGTAGAGGAGAGCAATCAGAATGAAGAAGGACTTCAGATTAGCCCCAGAGAAGCCAAGGGGAGGGAGGAGAGGGAAGAAATGGATCAGGATGGTTAACCTTAAGCATTTGACCGAGAGGGATGGGTAGAATGTGCAGGGAGACAAATTTAGGCTTGATAAAAGGAAAAACTTCCCATCGATTAGAGCCACCCAGGAGTGTCATGGGTTGCCTCGATAGGTGGTGAGCTCCTCATTACTGGAGATCTTCAAGTAGAGACTTCTTGTTAGGCATGTTGTAGAGATGGATTCTTGTTCCTGATGGGTTGCCTCCGATGGCTTCTGAGTTTTTGTGAATAGTGCCTCATACATTTGTACCACCGTCTTTCAAAATATATGCAGGTGCTGTTGTAATTAATAAAATATAAATTCACGTAAATGTGTAGCTGAATTCATAGCAGCTTCTTGTCATATTCTCTACCAATGAAGACTAATAGTATGCTTCTTTTAATGCTCAAAGATTCGGTCTCAAATCCATCTTCCCTTTGTGTTTGGCCATGGATTCAAGCCACTCCTGGTTTGGTGGTTCCTCTACTGAGACTTTCTATTTGTGACACAATATTATATTTAGATTCACTTCCTATTTGATAAGAGCAATGTATCTGCTATCCTCAAATAAACATATCATAGTGGGGGGAAAGATGCCTACTACACTCCTCCCCTCCCACCATTTTGCCCCAGTCACCAGTGTTAGTACCAGGAACCACTTGGTAATTTGCCACTTAAGTCTTGGGCAGAATCTCTAGCTTTCTTCAGAACTCAGCTCTGCTACCACCTCCTAGAGAAAGCCTTTCCTGATTCCCTCCCCAGCTGCCTGTGCCTTCCCTCCCTCCAATTACTTTGTCTCTATTTTGTATTTATTTATGTGTTCATGTCATTTCCCACCAATAGAATGTAAGCTCCCAAGGGCAGATTGTTTCTTTTTTGTCTCTTATTCCCAATGCCTGGTACATAGTAGGTATTTAGTAAATATCTGTTGAATATTACGATGCACATATAATTTTTTAAATTCTGTATCATTAACCATTTTAGCTACTCACATTCTTCTTAAATAAAGCAACAAGTGAAACAAATAAACCTGAATACATATTTTCTTCAGTTCCTCACGTGCAGACGATTCAAAACTCAAAAACTCAGGCAGTTTCATTGCACCATGAAAATAGATAGCCTTGGCTTTTCCCAATAGAATGCATCTAACTTCTAGAAAAAGGTGGGTGGTAGAGAGCTGCGTGTGTGGTTTGTGATTAATTAAATCTGATGCTGAAGTGTGTTTACGGCCGCCATCTTTTAAAATTATGAGCAAGCTAGTTAAATGTCAGGCTGCAGGTGGAAGAATGAGAGATAGGCTGGCGTGCTCAAAGACAAAGGATTGGAGTGTGCTGGGAAAACCAGGAGTTGGATTTAGAGGCCCCAGGTGACCTTGGATAAGACCCATCTCCTCTAAGTGTGTCGGTATCCTCATCAGCAAAGTAGGAGGGTTGGACCAGATGGCCTCCAAGATTCTATCCGGCTTTAAATCTGTGATTCTACAACAAAGTGTTCCCCTTCAAAGCCCTAGGTCCACAGCTCATTAGGGAGAAAGGAGCACTTAGCAGTCTCGCTCAAATTTCTTTTAATATTCAAAGACACACAGCAGGAGACAATTACTTCTTTCCTATGAATAAATACCAACTCAACAGACAGAATCAACATTGCTAGCAAATAAGGCTCAAAAATTCTCGGCATTGGCGCCAGAGGGATATTTCTTTACAGCTCATCATGTCTGTACGTAAATTCCCTTGCAGATATAAACCCATCCTTGTCCTCGTCTTCTTTGTCAAAGATGTCTTCCACCAAAGTATCATGGTGACTCTCATTGATCATTGCCCCATGCTTTTCAAATTCCTTCTTCAAATAGATTTTAACCTGCAAAGGAAAGAATCGTGCTACTTGAAAAGGTCGGCCCTATGACCTGGGAATTATTAATCAATATCATCCAGCCTGTATTTCAGGCTATTTTATTATTGATCATAACAATAACTAGCATTTCTATAACACATGAAGGTTTGCAAAGAGCTATTGGTGTTATCTCATTTAATCCTCACGACAACCCTGGGAGGGAGGTGCTATCATTATCCCCATTTTATGGTTGAGGAAACTGAGGCAGATGGAAGTTAAGTGACTTGCCCAGGGTCTCACAGCTAGTAAGTATTAAAGGCAGCATTTGAACTCAGATCTGTTTGACTTCAAGCTTGGCATCCTATCCACTACTCTACGTACATGTGTATTTTAGAAATGTAGAGCTAAACAACAAATAATCAAAACAAATGATTTTTATAACATTTCCCATTTACTAAAGGGACTCTCCCCTCCTTTTTTTTCTTAATAAATTTAGCTACCTGGTTATAACAAGGTATATTTTGATGGAGATATGATCTGGTTGATGCAATCTGCATCAGAGGAGGGTGCACCTGCCTCAAGGAAGTTGCAGATCTTTGGAACTAACTAAATACGAAATATTTTTGACAGGAAATAGTCACCTCATTTTCGCTGTTGTTTGGGGGGTGGCGGATGGGAGATTGGGTCTCCTTGTCCCTGCCTAGGCTGGAAGTCCAGTGGCCATTCCCAATCTGATCCCCGCACTGAGCAGCCCCCACTTCTGATCTGGGTTGGTTCACCTCTCCTTCGGCAGCCTGTGCGCCTCCCGCGCACAAGAAGTCGGTGATACAGCGCTAGAGTTAGTGCAGACGCCTGACCGGTGTTCAGCCAAGCCACCACATTACCCTCACCTCTTGTTTAGACAGCTTCCAGTCATCATTAAGATCCATCTCTTGGAATGACTCGTGTGATCTTGGTCCATTTCGAATTTCCAGGAGATCAATATTGAATATCAGTGTACTCTCGGGGGGAATTTGACCTGTCGGGGGGAAAAAAGAAGGCTTTCGCTGAAACTTCTTACTTTTAAAAGTAGAAGATTTATGGATCTGGACAAAATAGGCCCTTAGCTAAACTTGGGGGGCAAATGTACTGAGCATAGTGAGTGCCCTACAGGTCTGAGTTCGCATTTTGAGTTGAGGCTAGGCGCTCCCTTTCCTTCATCAGCAGGAGATCTCAGCTTTCTAATCCAGAAACACACACACAGCCCATCATGGAGAGATACTTGAATTCTTGCCCAGCTCATAGCCAAGATGACCAAAATGAATGAAAAGGGAAATCTCATTTGTGCAACTGGTCTACGTTCTCAGGGGAGATTTCCCTGCTATTATTTAATAAACTGCTGGAAGTTAGTTCAACTCAACTAGAACTATGTATCCGAGGCCCTTTAATGCTATGGTCCCCTAAGCAGCACAGCACAGCAAAGAGAGGCCTGAACTCAGAGTCTGGGTTCGAATCCCACCCCACTCGTCTTAGCTGGTGCCTCTGGGCAAGTCACTTAGCCCCTCTCTGCCTCAGTTTCTCTTCTGCAATTACCATAGCATCAACCTCTCTGGATGGTTGTGAGGAACAAAATAGGTGACACAGGGAAAGCACTTTGCTTGTCTTAAAAGCGCTATAGAACAACCCGCTGAGGAGCAGAGGGACGCCGACCCAGTTTAATTTCCACTTCAGATACACATGGGTTGGAGGACCCTGGGCAAGTCCAACATTTCAGCAGCCCAGGTTCTAGATTGTACAGCATGCACTGATCTGCACTGACAGAAGGAGATTTCCTCACCTAGGAGTCCCCTAGATCAAAGGAATTGCCAGGTCCAATTTTTAAAAAAAGTACCGTTATTATCATCAGGCTAAAGATACAGCTGGCACAACTGAGAAGCAAGGAAAGGCCAGCTCTCTTGGGTAAGCACTGGCCCTCAGTTTCCTCATCTGTAAGCTGAGGGGATTGTACTACAGATACCTGAGGCCCCTTTCAGCTCTGTCCTCCTAGGAGTCTATAAAACTAGCACCATGCACAGAGTGCCTGGGGTCAGGAGGCCCTGAACTCAAATCTGGCTGTGTGACCCTGGACAAGTCACTTGACCCTGTTTGCCTCGGTTTCCTCATCTGTAAAATGAGCTGGAGAAGGAAATGGCAAACCCCTCCACTAACTTTGCCAAGAAAGAGTCGGACGCAACTGCACAATGGAACCAAAACAAAGACAGACATAACTGCCTCAACTTGTGTTCATGAAGAGTAGCCCGGTGTGCCACAAATGCAAACGTTATTTTTTTTCCATTTTCTCTTCCTATATTCCCTGCCTCTTCCCCATGTCTTTTCCTGACTCTTTGTTCTTTCCTTCCTTCTTTGGGGGGGGGGGCAATTGGGGTTAAGTGACTTGCCCAGGGTCACAGAGCTAGTAAGTGTCAAGTGTTTGGTCTGAGGCCACATTTGAACTCAGGTCCTCCTGACTTCAGGGCCTGTGCTCGAACCACTGTGCCACTAGCAGCACCTTGTTCTTTCCTTCCTATTCTTCCTCTGGGCACCCCCACTGGAGAATGATTCCTGGTTTTAGGGCCAACAAATGATTCCAAGTCATTTACTAATATCTACTATGCACTAGGCATTGTGTTAAGTGCTGGTGATACAAATAAGAAGAGAAAGACAGTCCCTGCCCTCAAGGAGTTTATAATCTAATGTCTATAGCCCTAAAGCTATGACCCAATCACTTGTCTATACAGACAGCTCCCTTTTATCTAAATTGAGGGAGAAGAAAAGATGAGTGTCTGATCCAAAATGGCAGCTTTAAAAATCCCCGGTTTGGCTTTGGAATTTTTTCCCCTTTTCTGTACCCCTGCTTGAATACTGGTGTGTCTGTTGCCCTTAAATTGATTAGAAAAAGTTTTATTAAATTTTTTTTTAATTTTATTTTTCAAAGAATAAAGCCACATCATGCAGACCTGATTTAGGAAGCTCTGGATTACAGATTTAGAACCGGATGGGAGCTTAGAGTGTGTTGTTCAACCTCTACTTTTCACACAGGAGGAAACTGAGGCCAAGAGAGATAAGGTCACACAGCCAGCTAGTGTCAGATGTAGGATTTGAAACGAGGTCCCCTGACTCCAGACTCGATGCTTTCTCCATTATGTCATAATCAGGGGTCAATAACATCACATGAAATAGCCCCAGTACCTGGCACAGAGTGAGTACTTAACAAATGATCACCCATCGACTAACTGACTACCAACAGGCCAAAGAGGCTGAAACTACTGCATCTCCCTGATGACTATCCGACATGGCAGTACGTTCCACTCAGCATATTTCTGTTTCATAAGGAGATGAGGGACTGAGAATGCCTTGCTATGAGAAAAAATGGAAGAAAATGGGGATTTACAAAAAAAAACCAAAACACACAATGCAGATGGGTGCATACGGAGGGTCTGGTGAGGTCCTCAAATAGAAGCAGGCGGCACATTGACTTAGAGATCCACAAATTACATAATCTGTGTCCTATCGTGTCTTTAACTATCTCGTTAAACATTTCTCAATTACATTTCAATTTGGTTCTGGCCTCCGTGGGGAGTTATACAGACTGCTTGTGATCTGACACTCCTGTGCAGTGGAACACAAGGATCTGGGTTCAAATCCCAGCTCTGCTGCTTGCTTGTCCATGAGATATCAGACGAGTCATTTAACTTCTCTCAGCCTCAGTTTCCTTTTCTAATCGTAACAGAGTTATTCCTCCAGCTAGAAGCCATCATAAAAGCCACATAACTCGAGCAACTTCCTGGGAAATGGGGGATGAATCAGTAGTTAAAAGGAAAAAAAAGCACTTTCAGGGGAAGGAAGATGTGAGCTACAAGAAATTGAAGGTCTCTGCTAGTTGCCTAGAGCCCCCCAAAGCTTCCTGGGAAGGATGAACTCCCTTTTCCAAATATTTCCCTGTGTTTAATCTGAAATTTGGGGGTAAACATTTCCAACATTTTTTTTGGAGCTCCCCAAAGCTTCCTGGGAAAAATGAATTCCCTCTTCCAAATATTTCCAAATATATTTAATCCTAAAGTTTGGGGTAAATATTTCCAAGCATTTTTTCCCTGGCAGATGACCACAAAGGAGAGTTAGAGGGTTCTTAGTTCCAAGGAGAACAAGACTTACGCTGTCCACTCAAAGCTGTTCCCCATCAGGGTCAGAAGGCGGGAGCAGCTTCTCCACAACCAGGTTGATTTCCAAAGAAGGCGTGGACCCCAAGCTAAAAGAGCTGGTGTTAGTCCAGTGTTAGGTGTGTTAGTTTCACTGTGGTCAGTTTCAGGGAAGGTAAGCAGAGTTAGGTTTGTTAAATGGTGAGCACCTGTTAAAGGCAGAGGAGAGAGGGAAAGAGGGTTTTGGCCGGGAGTCACAGAAGAGTTAAAAACACACCTATCGTCCCTAAAACCAGTCTGAGCCCCAACGCATACATTTTCTAGGTGCCTGATTTTCTTTTCCAGATTTGAATCTAACTATAGAAACAAGAATGTTTTAATTTTAGCCAGAAGAGGCTTAGCTTGGCAACTTCCTATTCAGGAATACAAATGTGGAATCCTTATAAGGGATGAATGTATCCACAACTAGGAAAGAAACAGAATGTACTGAAATGGGAAGGTCTCAGCAACGTCTAGCCAAGAGAAAGGAAGACAGGCATAGCTGGGGAAATGTTTTGTGGTAAAGTGAAAAATTTGGGGGTGTGTATGAGTGTGAGAAAACAGTAAGAAAAAAAGAGAACGAATAAACCAACTCGTAGAAAGACTGATTAGAAATGAACTTAAAAAATGTTTTACATCATTGCACATGTATAACTTTTATCTCATTGCTTACCTTTTCAGGGAGAAGGGAGGGAGGGATAGAATTTGTAACTCAAAACTTTAAATAAAAATATCTTTAAAATTTTTAAAGGAAAAACAACAGATATGAAGTGAACTTAAGGACAAAGAAACTAGGGGTGAGGCATGTGAATGAGACAGAGAAGGAAGACAAAGGAATGATAACAACCATAGTAATAGGAATAATAATAATAATTTTTTTTGTCTAGCCCTATGATATTATTGGTGTGGAGAGGAACTTCTGGTGTGGAGATTTTTTCTTCTAATGCAGAATGCCCAGGGTCCAAAGCAGAATGTGTCAGAGGCAGGACTGCATTTGGAATCAGTTTCCAGACTCACGCTTGAATACTAGTACAGAGAATTAAAGTCCTTAGTCTAAAGTTCTGAGAATTAATTAAAAAGCAAACAATGAAGCCGCACCCAGCAGAACTAATTCAGTAGGCTCTGGATCATCCTGACCCAGCAATGAGATAAAAATCATGGAGAAGGGGATAGAACAGAGGCTTTGTGACTTAACAAGTCACTTACCTGGAGGCTTAATTCCCAGATTGGTATAAGGAAGATAATATTTCAATTACATTCCTTACCCAGTCACTGCGAGGAATGGTCACCTGGAGAGTTGAACCTAGTCTCCTCCAGACTCTAAATGCCACAGAAGCCAAGGGCACTGTGTGATGGAGAAGGAAGGCCCCCACAGCCTGTTCGGCTGGGCCCAAATTCCTCATCTGTCTAATCTGTCCTCATCGATCAGTATTTATTAAGCTCCTACTATGCATCGGGTACTATGCTATGTGCGTGCTATGAATGGTCTTCATCAGGGGGTTAGAGTAGAGAGCCTGAGGATCTGTCCAGTTCTAATGTTCTATGTAAAATGTCTTGTAAACCCCAAGGCATGAAATAAATATCAGCTATTTTTATGATCTGAAGCTTCAGTGTAGCGGTTAGCAAGCTGACCTTGGACCCAGGAAGCCTTGGGTTCGAGTTCCACTTCTGACATATGTGTGACCCAGGGCAAGTCACTTAACTTCTCCATTACCTTGGACAAGAGTGTAATGGGTAGAGAAGACGCCAACATTCAGTAGTAGGAGGATTTTTCTCATCTGGGAGCTCACAATACCAATGAAAGCACAGGCCTAGCCTCTATTATTGTTATTATTACTATTAACAATGACAACAACAATAATGTTGGTATTGATATAAATATTATTGTTATTAACTGTTATCAAATATAACTATTATTAAATTAATGTTAATGACAATAATAACATTCATATGACTAACAAGATAATTATGATGATGATGATGATGGGGATGATGATGATGATGATGATGATGGGAAGATTCTAGTCTTCCTCTTCAACTCAAAGCAGAAACACTTGAGTGTGACAGAGAAGGAAGGAGGAGGAGGAAGGACCAAGCGGCAAGATTACCTTTCCCCTCTTTTCCATACCCCAGGGCAGGGGGGATGGTGAGCTTCCTCTTCTCCCCCACGCACATGCCCTTCAGACCTTGGTCCCAGCCTTTGAGAACCTCCAGGATGCCAAGTGTAAACCAGATGGGCTGGCCGTGGTTATGTTTGTGCCTGAGGAGAAGGAGACGGAGTGAGTTACCATTCCAGCGTGCCTCCTGGCTTCACTGAAATGCTTCCTAGCCACCCCATCTCCTCCTCAGGTCCATGAGTGCAGCTCCTTCCTTTTACCTTGAGTGAAAGCTGCTCTCTTTTTTACCCCCTTAAGACAACTTCAGCCCGCCGAGGATGGCCACTCTCTCCCCACGAGGCGAGAGGCACAGAATGAGGTCATCTACAGGGAGAGCTATAGAAAGAGGCACTTGGGAGCCACCCTGAGAGGAAAGAGGGGGAGCCTGTGGAAAAAAAGTGAGAGACAAACGGTGGTCAGACATGAGGTACTGACTGCATACACAGGCAGGAAGGGGTGTGTGCCTGCGTCCAAGACTGGAAACCAAAGAGCTGGTACAGAGAGGGGAGGAAGGAGAAGAGTTCTAGGTGTCCCAACCTGAAGTCTTCTGCTATAGCAGAGCTGCCTCTCATGGAGAAAGAGAAAAGAAGAACCCCCCCAAAAATACCAGTCACTGCCCCCAGAATTCTCCCCGGTCCCTGAGGTCTCAGTACTCTTTAAAACTTTTTAAATTTTTCAATTAACAATCATTTACTTTCTCTACCTCCTAACTGCCTTTAATAGGGACAAAAATGAAACCTTTGCAACAAATATGCAAAGTCAAGCAAAACAAATCCCCACGTGGGTCTAGCATCCTTTTTTTTTTTTTGGCTAGAACCATCCCCTCAAAGGTTACCTTCAATCTACTCTGCATTTGTCTTGGATATACCCAGTTATTTCCATGTTTTCTCCCCACTCAGAACATAAGCTCTTTGTTTTTGTCTTTCTTTGTGTTCCTGATGCTTAGAAGAATGCCTGGTACATGGTGGGCACTTAAGAAATGCTGGTTGATTGACTGATTGATTTCTACTCCTCAAGTGCCAACAGTTAATAAATGCCTGTTGGCTCACTGGCTGACCCTCGTTTCTATATCTCCCCATCACCAGGCTCTGCATACAGTGGGGTCCTACATAGACCTTTGCTGAATTAATCAGAACAGAACACATAAGTGGCGCATTTTCACCTGCATGTTTTGCTCCTGAAGGCATAGGAGGGTGATAGGGTCATAGATACAGCCCCCTTTCCTTTACAGAGGAGGAAGCCCAGGTCCAGAGTTTAAGTGACTTGCCAAAAGTCACATAGGTACTATGTAAAAGAGAGATCCAAGTTCACCTCCTTTGACTCCAGAGGCAGGACTCCTTCCCACGCCTGGGGAGGAATTTTAACTACAAATCAGATCTATCAGGGAGGCATCCAAAACTGAAGAGCAGTAGGAGGTCTGATAAAAAAAGAAATAGGGGGCTGGGAACCAAGAGTCTTGGGTTCTATTCCTGGCTTTGCTACCTAAAGGCTGGACCAGACAGGGAAAGTTAACTTCAATGCACCCATTTCTCCTTTTTGACATGAGGGGCTTGGATCATATCCTGCAATTCTAGCTCTGAGATAGTGCCTTTTGACCATTCTTTTTATTTATCTACTACAGAAAGCAGCAGAGTATTCATAGCCAATTAGCAGAAGTAGCCTGGGTTAGTAGATCTCACTGGGGGGAAGGAGAGGGAGAAGAAAGAAGTATCCTGGATTCGAAGTCAGGGGTAGATGGATGATTAGAAACAATAAAATAAGCAAGTAGGTACATTCGATATGTATATTTAAAGGTAATGTGAAAGAGGGCGGGAAGATACTGGGCATCCTACCATACCAACTAGAAGCCTGGACCCCTAAGGCCTCAGTTTCCCCCTCTGCAAAATGGAGACAATAACCGCACCTTCCTCTGAGTGGGGTTGTGAAGCTCGAATGAGATTCCGTAAAGTGTTTGACAAAGCCTTAATAAGCGAGTATAAATGTGTGGCTATTGTACAATGTAAGCTCCTTGAGGGCAAGAGGCCTGTGTCTCATCTTTTTCTCTGTCTCTAGCGTACTGAGCAAGCCTCTGAGACGGATCCCTGGGTTCTAGAGGCTCTGGGTTACTCCAAGGCAAGTCCCTCAGGCTCGCAGCGTGCCCTAGGAGACTTAACCAGACTAACTGGAAGAGAAGGTGCGGACCTCAGGGAGAGGGAGATTCCTCCCCCAGGAATTCCCGGTTCATGAATAGATGCAGCGTGGGAGCTTCCTAAGTGCTTGGGGCGTTTTCCACGCGTGCTTCTTCACCAGTCTCGAGGTCAGGTCCACCCTCCCTCTGGTCCAGGCGGGCGCACCCCCGTTACCTAGCCACCTTCCCTGCCCCATCACTTACGTGGAGTGAAACAGGGACCCGTCCTTCTCCAAGTAGCCTTCGTAATGTAACAGCATCATATCGCCACCTTTGGTCTTCCGCTGGCAGATGAAAGGCTTCTGGAGGACCTCGATCTTCACCTCGGGCTCCGGGATCAGTGCCCCCCTCCCCAGGGCCAGCAGGGTGGCCAGGAGGGCTGGCCACAGGACCAGTCTCATGGTGCCCCGGCCGGTAGCACAGGCGTCCTTTCAAAGCGAGCCGCTTCGGGGGAAAGCGACCTGACTACATGAAATCAATGCCTGCTTTGCAGTTTAAGGCCTGGGGAAAGCTCTGGTCCCGGCCAAGTTCATGGCTCCCGGTCTCAGTAGACGTGGCACACTCTGCTCCCCGCGAACAACTCTGCAGACGCACAGCGGCTCCCTTAGGGTTAAATTCGAGGAGCGCCTAGGATGGCTCCTCTCGCTTGGGGCGGCCTCAGGATAGCGACGGCTCACAGGCTCCTGTTCCCGTCCCTCTCCCGAGCCTTCAACTGCATGGACCAATGAGTACAGCTCATTTAAACGAAACCGACCTCCTACAGAACGTTGCGTAGCCATGGGATGCGTTGCTTGGCAACCCAAACCGGCGCTGGCTTTCAAGAGCATGCTCACTCGTCCAGCCCCGGGAAAGGAAGGATGTGAGCAAAGCCTGCAACCCGGGGATTCCAGGGCTCCGGATTTTCGAGAAATGGGCTAGGCTGGGAGAAGGGAGGCGGGAGGGAGGGACCTATCCAAAAGGCAGATTTCCGTCTAAAAGTAACCAAAATCCTAGAATTGATGCTGAGGAGGGGAGGGCCGAGGAGCAGGGTCAAAACACGCGGCCTAAAATGTGGGTGGGAAAATTGAGACACTAATGCACTGTTAGTGGAATTGTGAACTGATCCTCCCTTTCTAAAGAGTAATTTGGAACTATGCCTAAAGAGCTATAAAATTATGCATACCCTTTGGTCCAGCAATACCACTTCTAGGTCTGTACCTCAAAGAGGTCAATGTAAAGGACCTATATGTACAAAAATATTTGTAAGGTTTTTTTTTTGTGGTGGCAAAGAATTGGAAATTGAGGGGGTGCCCATCAGTTAGGGAATGGCTGAACAAGTTGTGGTGTGATTGTGAAGGAGTACTATTGTGCCATAAGAAATGACCAGAAGGATGGTTTCCGAAAAACCTGGAAAGACTTACATGAAATGGTACAAAGTGAGCAGAACCAGAACACTGTACACAGTAACAGCAATATTGTGCCATGATCAACTGTGAGTGACTTAGCTGTTCTTAGTAACGTAACAATCCAAGACGATTCTTTTGTTGTTGTTGTTGCTTTTTTTTTTTTTTTTTGGTGAGGCAATGGGGGTTAAGTGACTTGCCCAGGGTCACACAGCTAGTAAGTGTCAAGTGCCTGAGGTCGGATTTGAACTCGGGTCCCCCTGACTTCAAGGCTGGAACTCTATCCACTGCGCCACCTAGCTGCCCCCAATCCAAGACAATTCTGAAGGATTTATGATGAAAAATGCTATTCAGAGAAAGAACCAATGGAGTCTGAATGCAGATTGAAGCATACTTTTTCTTTTTCTTTTTTTTTTACTTTCTTCATTTTTTTGGTCTGTTTTCCTTCTCAACATGGAAATATATTTTGTATGAGTGCACACATATGTTGTTCAGTCGTGTCAAACTCCTCTTGATCCCCTTTTTGGAGTTTTCTTGGCAAAGATATCGGAGTGGTTTGCCATTTCCTTCTCCAGTTCATTTGACAGATGAGGAAACTGAGGCAAACAAGGTGAAGGGACTTGCCTGGGATCACACAGCTAGTAAGTGTTTGAGGCCAGATTTAAACTCGGGAAAATGAGTATCCCTACTGGAGGCCTATCACTCTATTTACTTTAACACCTAGCAGCCCAGGTATAAACTACATCAAACTGCTTGCCTTCTCAAGAAGGAGGGAGGGGAGAGAGAATTTGGAACCCAAAATTTAAAAAAAAAAAAGAAAGAATGTTAAAAGTTCATTTTATATATAGCTAAAATATATTAAAAATTTCCAAAAAATACTCTAAATTTCAGGCAAGCTACTACTTTAAGGTGTGTAATGATGCTGATGGAGAAGCATAATGAAGCATTTATAAAGTGTCTACTATATGTCCCTTCTAGATCACTGCCTCGTCATGGCGGAGGGGCTTTCTGGGCTCAAACAACGAGCTATGCTGTACAGTTGCCCATAACGGATGGGTCATAGTGGAGAGTTCTGACAAAAGGTGATCTGCTGGAGGAGGAAATGGGCAACCACTCCAGCATCTTTGCCAAGAAAACCCCAGGGACGGTATAAAATGCTAACAGACATGACATCAGACTGGTGTGCACTGTGTCAGGGAAACCCCCAGTGAACCCCACCACCGCTCTATGCCAGACCTGGTGCTATGGATTCCAAGACAAAAGTGAGGCAAACCCTGCCTTCCAAAAGCATCCTTGTCGTCATCACAGACTTTATTTTGCCATTTTAAGTTCACAAAGCATTTTACATCCCGTCATGGGCTAATTTGAAGCTCACACCAACCGTGAGAGGTAGAGAGCTGCCCCACGCTCTTTCTGTTGTAAGTATGAGGAAATGAAGGCAGGTTCCTAAAGAGAGGAATTTGTCCAAATCTTGATGTTCATCAGTGAATGCACGTCATAGAGTCATATGTTTAGAGCTGAGTAGGGGACCATAGAAACTACCAGATCATTTTTATAGATTAAAAAAATAAAAACAACCCCGAGGTTCAAAGAGGTTGTGGCTTGCTTAATTTCAGTATGTAACTTTGTGAGCTTTAAAACGCTAAACCGAAGCATTAGATGTGAGCACACTGTACAGATAACGTATAATATGGGCTTATTTTCTTCCTACTAATCATCTACCTTTGACCCCAAACTCAATGTTCTTTCTTTCCTTCCTACTGTTCAGCTAACTCTCCTTATCAATAGCGATGACCTGGCATTTAAATGTACAAAGTGTTCTGGATACATTAATATGACGGCTGCTGCCCTCCCGGGACAAACGGGGCAAACCGAACCTGCTTTTAAGAGAGGATCTTAAAATAAGTATTGCCCTCGCGGTCTGAACTCTTGGGAGCCATGCCACTCTTGGGCAAATCAAGATTTCAGAGCTGGAAAAAGCCCTCAAGATTAGCTGGCCCAACCCTGTCATTTTACGGAGGAAGCCACCGAGGTTGAGGGACCTGTCCAAGGTCAGCCGAGGGGGCCAATAGGAAAGGAAAGACATCAAGCGTTCTTTTCCCCTCACTCACTCGACAGTGAGTTTTCCCCGGGACTCAGTTTTCTTTTTTGCAAATGAGGAGGCTGGACTTGACCGTCTCTCAGCTCGCTCCCAGAACATAACCCGATAAACTTTTGCATTTGCGAATTCTCACTGAATATTTCTATTGGGCTGGAACTCATTGCCACTGTTTACATAATTGTTAGCTGCGAATTCGTGCCGGGGTTTCACGGGCTCGCATTAGTGGGGACCTGGTTGTACTGGCAGCCCTAGGAGCTAGGTGGCAATCCCAGCTGTGTTACTCATTGTTAAGGGGCCATGTCCCGGGGCCTCAATGTCCTCATCTGAAAAATGGGGGTTAGCCTGCGCGGCCTCTCCCAGCGCCAGCTCTAGGAGCCCCGGCGCTGAATTCTGAAGACGCTTCCGCCTCCGAGCTCGCGATGATGGGGGTGCAGCCCGTGCGCGGTGCCCGGCCTGGCTCGCAGTTCGGTAGAGTTAGTTTTGAGAACTTCAAAGCGTCTCTAAGTGCCGCTTGTGTCTGCAAGGTCGGCTTCCCCCCAGGACCCCCCCCCCGCACGCTGGCGGCCGCTTCTCGGGCAGTGCCAGGCGGATTGGCCGCCGGGCCGAGGGTGGGCAAGGCCGGCCCTCCGCGAGGCCCCGCCTGCTGCGGGCTGCGTGGGGACGAAAGCCCGAAGTGGATTCCACGGCTCCGGGCTGCGGCGCCGCGCTGGCGGCCGCACTGGGCATGCGCGAGCGTGCTCAGTCCTGGGCCGGCCTCCCGAGGTTGCGGGGCGCCGGCCGGCGGCGGCGGCTGGAGCCGGAGCCGGAGCGGGAGCCGGAGCCGGAGCCGGAGCCGGAGCCGGAGCCGGAGCCGGAGCCGGGGTCGGAGCTGCTGCCACGGCCGCCGCTGGCGCTGCCGCTGCCGCTGCGCTCGCCCGGGAGCTCGCTACACTTTTGGAACGTTGATACATTGTCCCGCGCGCCGCGCGCTCTCATTGGCCGCCGGGCCCGGCCACGCGCTGCTCCGATTTGCCCCGCGGCCCGCCGGGCTCGGAGCGTTCCGGAGGGAGCCCCGCTCCCGAGGGCGGCCCCGGCCCCGGCCTCAGCGTGCGGGCCGCTGCGGGCGGGCCATGGCCCTGCGGCCTCTCGGGAGTCCCTGTGGCCTGGGGCAGCGGCGGCGGCGGCGGCTGCTGCGGGGATCCTGAGAGCGGCGGCGGCGGCGGCGGCGGCGGGTGGATGGGCCCCGGGATCCCCGCACCATGGAGGGGGTGCTCTACAAGTGGACCAACTACCTGAGTGGTGAGCCAGGGGGACCCCCCCCGCGGCAGGGGGCGGGGCGGGACTGGTGGGGCGAGCCGAGCCCCCCTTTTACGAGCGGGGAAACTGAGGCCCAGGCTAGAGAAGGGGTGTGCCCCAGGGTAGGGACCTTGGGGGCGGGGTCTCCTGGCCGTCGAGCCTTGGGCTTAGATCTGGAGGGGACCCAGGGTTTACACAGTCATAGGGTCATCAGTTCAGGGCCAGAAGGCGCTTTGGGAGGGGTCCCCTGACCCTCGAGCCTTGGTGGGATCTGAAGGGTCATCTGGGTCCAGCTCTTCCTTTTATGAATGAGGAACCTGAGCCCTGGACGGTCAAGTGACTGTGTTCCCTCATTCTATAGGAGAGGCACCCATCCCAGGGAGGTTGGGGTTAGCCCAAGATGACTCAGGTAGGGTGTTTGCCTAGATGAGGAAGTGAGCTGCCCAAGGTCACGCAGGTGGCCTGGGAATGCCCAGGGACCTGAGACTGCAGCCGGTGCTGCCGTAGTACAGGCACCCTTGCTTTGTACAGATGAGGAAACCAAGGCCCAGACCTTGTCTTGCTCAAGGTCACATCGCTAGTGACCCGGTGGGACCGTGTCTCTTTCTTCCCTTCCACACTCCCCTTATTGGGTGTCTTTTCATCTCAGGGCCCTGGATTTAGGGCTGGAAAGGACTTCGGAAGTGATTCTGGTCCCCCCCTCTTATTTTACATTTGAGGGCATTGAGGCTGGGGAAGGTGGAGTGACTTTGTCATGGTCAAACCCATAGTAAGTGGGAGTCGGGATTGGAACGCAAGCCCCCTTTCTGCCAATCCCAATCCCTGCCTTCTGAGTGATTGTGGTCTTTGGGGGTGGAGGTCACATTTTTTGTGATTC